CGTCGTCTTCTTCAACTTGCCTGAGGTCCAACTTACCGTTCTAGAATTAGATTAGTATAGTCCGCGGGGCGAAGCGGCGCGCACACCTTCAATTTACATGCGGAATAACTTACTCCCAGCGGCCGCGGGAAGCAACTTAGACTACATTTTTTTCAGTTTACACTTACTTCTAAAGATTTCCTTATCTGCCTATCCTATTTCCCCACCCCCTAAACTCTATAACCACCGTTTTGGCAGGATAAAATGCTGGGACTAGGGGATATGGAGTGGGCCTATATAAGTTACTTTTGCCTCAATCACTTCTTGAAACTCGCACCTTCGCTTTTATAGGCAAGGATGGTGGTGGTGGCGGCGGGATATGTAAAATTTGGCAATGAACTATGGCGAATGATTTAGAGGACATTCACATTCTCAATAAAAAGCTCCCTAAATGGGGAACACACCCGAAAGAGAGGGTTGCGAGGACGGCCGCCGGTCAGTCGCGGAGACAGGACGTCTGGTGGAGGCTTGCGGTGAAAGACCTGCGTAGGAACCATCGCCGACACCGCCCAGCGAACCGGTAGTGGCGCCAAAACCGCCGCGCTCTAGGCGACTGCGAGCAAGTTGAGCCTTTTTGCGCTCCTCCTGCAGACGATCCTTATCTCTAAGCAGATTATTTACTGCGTAGGCCTTCTCTCTAACATGGCGTCCCACATCCTTGCCTTCATCCACGTAATAAAAGTCCTAAGCGGGACAAAATGACAGCGGATTGTGAATAAATTGCAATGGATAGGGAATTTAAGCGGTGTACAGGAAAGGGCTATCGTTAGGATTATTTTCCACGTACTTTGTTACTACGATACCACGGCGTAAATTACCTTAACTGCTAGGACAAGAGCTATGAATTGAAAGTTGCTCCCCGTATAGCTCAAGCCTCGTCTAGACCAGTAGTTTTAATAAAGTACACGAAACTCCACGAAGGCGTCTTGTTTGACCATGTCCAAATGCAGAATTAGTTATGTAAACCAGGGACGCTGAAAAACTTTTCCCACTCAGTTATTCCAGCTATTCAATGCCTCATAAATGGTCTATAAGGAGATAAAAACAGATACTCACTAAGAAGTTCTCCTGCACGTAACATCCACGGTTTTTGGACAGTAAGCAGTTTAGAATTGTGAGTATACTCCGAGTAAAATAAACGGTGAGCCACAATAAGGCCTGAAAACATGGCATTCAGCAGGTTTTGGGAAATGGACCAGTCTCACTAGACTCGGCCTTTTTATGCTGTCTAGATCGACTTCGGGAAAATAATGTTCCAAGAGCGCAATGTTTCCAATGGGATGTCCCTGAATAGCAATTAAAAATTGTTGTGCCCTGCGCAATTTCGAAAAAAAACGTAGCGCATTAGTGCAGCAGTTCTCTCAACACCTGTATATGGTAATGGGATGATGTATTTGTTTCGGCGGATCTCACTCCGTCTGTCTTATGACCGCTTAAAGGCTATGGCGACATTTTCGACGTCAAAAATGTCGCGTCCTCCTACTAGATAAGTCTGTGCACTAACCATAACCAGAAGCATAGGCAACGCAATCAGGGAACAAGTTGCCTACTTCTCCGACTTAACGGACTGATAAGTCATCCTGTTGGAAGCGATGGTGGTAGTTTTAAAGAAGCCGACCAAATACGGACAGTGTATGATTTCTTAGCATAACCAATTGGGATCAGCCACCACCATCAGCTGCATGCATCATCTTCAAATAACGGAGTTTCGTCCACATTCCACATCATATGATTCCGTGCTTGCTGTTATAAAATTACATTTACTAGTACCGTAACACCTAGAGCGAGCCGATTTACGCTAGGAAAATCAATCAAAAATGGCTTTGCGACTCACACGGCCACCCGTCACTATGTTTAGCATGTGATGAAGTAGGAAGTGCACCAATGAGTGACAGTAGGAGGCTATATAGGACTGCTTTTGAGTCGGTAACATAGCCATGTCTTGAGAATTCTACCAAAGACTTCTGTCTGACACGGAAATAGATTGTCCTCGAGTCAAATTTTAGAAGGGTTTACGGTAAGTAGTATAAAATGGGAAAAGATAGGCTCCCAGAATCCAACGAAAGACCCCTCTTTTATTCATAAATAATGGGCAGACCGAAGTGTTATTCATCTGCATCCCTGAACAGAAGAAGGTAGCTCTCGAAGTAATGGTTGTTAACTTGAAGTAGACATGTTCAAATACTTCAGAAGAAGACTACTCGATCGCTGAGACAATATGTTTATTGGCCTGAGGTTATGACATCCATCGCGGATTCATCATCAGAGACATTCGCAGTAAACAGTAGCAGAAACGGGTCTGCTACTGTTTCAAATACCTCGGGGTGAGACTACTGTCGAATGGACAGGGTAAGGATGACATGGTCTTTCAAATAGATGCTGCTTGCCGGATTTTCTAAAGCCTTATAAACTGTCTATGAATTCGATGCTGTATATCCATTGCCACGGAGATCCACCTGTACCGTGCACTTGTCTGGGCAGTCCTCCGTTATGGCTGTATATGCTCGGCTGTGTGCGCGAAAGATTAGCGAAAACTGCAAGTACTTCACTACCTCTGATTGAAGACCATCCACCGAATAAAGTACACCGATTTCATCTCAAATGAGGCGGCTAAATCGCAAAACATTCAAGAAAGACAACAGTCGAGCATTTAAAAAGTGGGTCAGATGAATTACTCAAACTTGCCAGACTCCACACTAATTAATTGTACCTAGCAGTCGTCTGATAGATTCTAGATTGACTGCTCAGGAAATCCTGCTTGGGCCGTCAGCTTGCTGTAACAGAATTGGTGGATACCATACGCTGCAGTAGGCTAGGCGGGTAACTTGACGCGGTAGGAGTCCCGGAGCTCAGTTGGCTAGAGTGTTAGCTGTACAAAAGCATTTTTCTTGCTGAAATAGATTGGTATCTCGTAGAGGTCACCGTTTTTCACAAGTGGTTTAAATAAAGTGGACCCAGTTTGTCAAGATATGGATCTTCGGTATTTGGTCCCTATTGTTGGCGAAGGGAATGGGCTGAACTTTCCAGATCTGCTGCTGTGGATAAACACGAGTGGTGAGGTATAGTCCGTAACATTATAGAGGACCAGTTAGATGCGGCACGGATTGCAATCATAACACGTACAAGTGCCGACAGTTTTTTTTTAAAGCCACACCTTGTTTGTACCGACGTCTTCATTGGACTACTCGGCAGACGCTTCCTCTTCGGTTGACCTTGAGTTGACGTTCGACAAGAAAGGGACATGGCTGATAAGACAAACCGTTAAGACTTGAGTCACGTGTTCGTCATATCACATGATCCCAACGGCAAGTTTATGGGCATACTTATGCTCACTCGACACACGAGCCTAGACAGAAAAACGGAGTTGACTGGTCAGAACGCGTGGCTCAAAGGGTGGCATTTCTGGTAAGCCGTCTGTACAACCAGAATGTGAGGAAGCCATCCAAACACAGGCTCCAAACTGTCAAATAGGGAGTTCAATTGTAGTCAGCCTGACGGGAATCGGAAACCGCAGGCAACGATAGCGAGTAGTTATTAGTAACCAGACAGTATGATTGAATGCGTCTTGTGGCATTAGACAGTCAGACGATCCCTCGGGACTGCAGTGGACAGGTCTCACGACTGGTTACTGCGAAGGACTCACCTGTTCACAAGAAGGGAGATAAGACAAGATGCGAGAACTACCGCGGCATAAGTCTTATCGACGTTGCTGCAAAGACCTCCGCTATTGTTCTTCTCAGGCGCTTTCAGTCTGTACATGAGTCCAGGACGCGGCCCAACCAAGCCGGATTCCGCGCTGGGCGTTGATATGCGAACCAGATATTTACGCTGAGGCGCATTCTAGAATTCCGCCATAGCTACCAGCAACCGACGGCCGTTTATATTGTTGACTTCGACGCCGCATTCGATTCCATCCAACGTGAGTCCCTGTGGTAATAATGGAACTGGATGCAGTGCCGACCAAACTTATTGTCATGATTAAGGCCTACTATCAGCCCACCACCACACGAGTTCTGGCCTACAATATCTCTTAGCCGTTTGATATCCGGTCTGGTGTCCGACTAGAGGTGTACTAGAGGTGCTTCACTAGCCGAGGAGATCAACAACACCAACTTTGGGG